AAATCTTGTGACAACCATAGGGGAATTAGTTTGACTAATTTTGTGTCCAAGATCCTAGGGCCCATAGTTATCCGATGCCTAACTGGAGCTTAATAACAGCAAGCTCCGAAAAACCAGGCAGGTTTCAAACCCGAATGATGGTGAATCAATCAAAATTTTGCCCTACGACAGGTTCTGGAACACAAGCATACCTACTGGTGGCCGATACTAGCCATATTTCTTGAACTGAAGGGGACACTCGACTCTATCGACCGTGAGGTGTTATGGTAGTGTTTGACTATGAAAGGAGTACCGAGAAAGTATACAGCGCTTATAAAAGCTATCTACTCGAACTTACACAGCCGTGTAAGAGATTATGGAGAGCTGTCATCTGAATTGACAATAAATAGTATTCACCAGGGGCGTCCACTGTCACCGTTCCTACTTAACTTTACCACAGATGTACTAATAAACATAACCTAAAGCATCTGTGACTTCATAGGGATTGATCTGCTTCCTGGAGGTCACCTGGTTGACTTAGAGTATGTAGACAATATTGTCTTGCTAGGTGAAGACGCTAATAAAATACGGGGTCTTCTGAGCATGTTTGGCATGCGTTTCACTGACACCTGTCAAATATAAGATGACGCTTCAGGACCGGTCTGCTACAAGTACTCCCAGTTTATTGATATGGAGCGAAGTGGTGGAATGTGCCGACCACGTCACTTGCTTGGGGAGTTGCATCAGCTCGAATGGGGTGGTTGGTGACGAAATCTCAGCTCGGATACAAAACGCCGCTTGGTAGTTGTCAACTTGCATCACCTATGACGCCGACTGGCGAGATATCCGACCGTCAGAGAACGAGTACGCTGCGCTACTGTTCATTTTGTCCTTTCATACGGCTGTGAGAAATGGCCGTTAAAAATAAAAGTTATGAAACGGTTACAGGTTTTCGATCACAGATGTCTTCGTAGCATTGCTCACGTCTGATGGAATCACCATGTTGAGGTCAGGCGAAGGGTACCAGGCAAGATAGCCAAGACAGTTGATGACGTTGTGAACCTTAGTCGACTCAAATAAGATGGCTTGGATATATACCCTACATGCCAAGCCACTGGCTACCTAGACGCACGATGCCAGGGGAAGTTGTTACAAGTTGGAAGAGAGTTCAATATGGCCAGACCAAGACCTGCCACAAGTCAATGAAGTCTCACTGTTGTTCTGAGTCGTGTAGGGCAATGTAGACTGCGTGGTCGGAGTTCGCGAGATGAAAGGAATCAGTGGTTGAGAATGCTTGGTGACATAACTGGAAATCGATCTTAATGGCGCAGATGTTTTCACTCCCTGACATCTTTTAAAGCTTGAATATTTGCACTGACATTTATCTTCAAATTATTTATTCACTCACACAACTTTGTCCACTTTGATACTACTCTTTTTCTATCCACCTAAACTTTGTGTACTGCTGTGAAGTGTGCCGACTTGAAGCGATGCAGTTGTGTGCGAGATTCTACGTTGATTTTGTCAGTTGTCGGTCAGTCAGATGAAAGATAAATTAAGTTTTCAGGTCCATAACTTAATTACTTGACATAAATACCTACACCAATACAAGTGAACAAGATGAAAACTAGTTTTTCAGTTGTCGCACACATGTGGTAACAGCACTGCATATCGAGTTTCTTCTGACTTGACAGACACTAAGCAGTAAAAGCTAATTTTCTTCTTGTGAGATGCACAGTATAAGATGCCGAAATACAAATTTACTGCGGTTCTGGGTAGTAAATATAAAAATAAGCTATGAAAATCAGAGACATCTCAACTAGTGGGGAACATAGAAAACAGTTTTTGATGAAACTTAGGAACGATCACATGGTTAGTTTGCCTCACTGCAAGTAAATTTGTCTTGACCAATTGACTGCCCACAAATTTTCGGTGTAACTATAGGCTATACAATTGTTTTCAGTAAATGATGAAACAAGTCACTGATTTACCGTTTCATTAATCGAATATGTTCCCCTCTACTACACCATCTAAACATGCCCTTTATGAGGAAACCGCACACAGTTTTTCCATAATTGTAGGATAAGCTGTTGTTTCGCCTACGCTTGAATCGACATTGCCCTCAGGACATCAGTTGCTTAGTGGGATCGCTTCACCAATACTACAAAGAGTTGGCCTGTGCAACCAGACAAAGAATGGAACTATTTAACAAAAGTGATCAGTGCCTTGATTGAAAATATCTACACAATCTTGTATATACTCACCAGTCATCCTTCTTTAAGACTGACTTTAATATAGACAGTTTTGAGGATTAATAATGACTAAGCAATTCCAGTTGTGCTACTCAACTTTTTCAATGGATTTAATGCTTTAACTAAATAAATTGATGTACAGTTTTCCTATGTGGTTGAAGGATAAAAATTACTACAAAATTTAATGAGGCTAACCTGTCGTTCAGAAGATTAGAGAACTTGCTAGGAAGGGATAATAAAAGAAAAATGTGAAACTTAGACAGTTATAGCTTAATTGGTTATCCAACATATTTGTAAGATTTCGCCAAGTGACTATTATACTGTTTTGACATGTTCATGTTTATAGACTAGTTTCTGTCGGATTAATTAGTTTTATAGTCCCTATTAACTAAGGTGACAGTCACTCAATTAGTAGTAGGTCACTCACTTCTATGGTAGACGTGTATTTGTGGCATTGTTCTCAAAATTCGAAGTCTATTATGCATTATGATTGCACAACTCAAATGGTATGAATGCATGGGTGATAAAACAGAATTTTTCATCATTTGGAGTGTTGAAGTTCATGACAGAGCTACGTTCGGTTCGATGAGTATACCCAGGAAGATTTGTACCTGGAGGGAAGCAATATTCTTACTGATGCAATTGCTAGATACTTCATATACACAGAACAGGTTGGTACCTTTGGTGATTTTAAAATAATAAAAATACAGATAATACCTGGATTATCATGCTTCACACAACCTTACCTCTGCACACAGAAGGATAGTGTGGTCAGTCGCTCTCATCCATGGTGACTTCAACTTGATCATTACTAACTTTGACCACATAATTTTTCATTTCACTCACCTAATGTTAGCTAGTATTAATTGTTTGTCTTCTTACATTTCTCATCCCTCTGCATAATTTTTTATAGATTATGTAGATTAGTAATGATTTTGATACACAACTTAAGACCATTGACTTCCGAATTTTAAACTACCTTATGTGTTAACAACTTTTAGACTGTATGCGGTTGAGGAATATTCGTGAAATAAAATGATGCCATTGTATTCTGAAAATCTAGTCGTTCTTGGTTTGCGCAAGTATTCTGAAATTGTTACTGCTCTAAATGGTTACCTATGTAAAGCATTTCATCTATAAAAGACAAATAAACAACTTTTATGAGGTACGTGAAGTACACTGACTGACAACTGACAAAATCAACGTAGAATCTCGCACACAACTGCATCGCTTCAAGTCGGCACACTTCACAGCAGTACACAAAGTTTAGGTGGATAGAAAAAGAGTAGTATCAAAGTGGACAAAGTTGTGTGAGTGAATAAATAATTTGAAGATAAATGTCAGTGCAAATATTCAAGCTTTAAAAGATGTCAGGGAGTGAAAACATCTGCGCCATTAAGATCGATTTCCAGTTATGTCACCAAGCATTCTCAACCACTGATTCCTTTCATCTCGCGAACTCCGACCACGCAGTCTACATTGCCCTACACGACTCAGAACAACAGTGAGACTTCATGGACTGGTGTACTCATTTAATTATTTGGTTGAAACACTAGAAAAAACCACAAAGGGAACATGACTTGAATATTTACACAGTACAAAGTCAGCTGCGCAAATTAAAAATGAACTACCCTTACAGATGATTACAGCACAGAATAACAGTACACAATAATCCGACATGAATTTTTTAATATAGGAGTAAAGCTTGAGCACTGCGGTAGACTATAATTCCATTTTAGTCTTCTAATTAGAAACATCACATAGTGGAACAGTATCATTTATTATTGTCCATGTTCATGTCATGTGATTAGATGAATATGCACAATAAATTATATCTGAAACGTTATTCAGTAATTCATACTGTTTCACTGTGTGACATTTCGATATGAATTTACTTTGTTAAATGTAATTACACAGTATTTATTCATTGCTTTTTCGAAATTGCTTCCCATGACCACCTACTCGATTACCAATGGGTGATAAAATTAATAAAAAGAATGTAGATTGGTTATTTATCTTACAAAAGTAATATGTAGCAATACGATTCTGCAAAACGTCCACTCACTTTGATACACTCATCTTCAGAATACATGGTTAGAAATCTTCAGACTCATACTATTTTGTTACATTGCCAGACACAACTGTTTCCTACGATCGTAGAAAATTTCTCCTGTTTACAGTGGTCGAAAATATTGGCAACGAAACTTCACTAGAGTTATATTCTGAATACGACATTAATATCAGCGATTTTTCAAAATTATGCACTATTATCGAGAGATATTTCAAATGACATGGGAAAAAATTACTTATTCTGTTTATTTATCTATTATTATTTACTACAACTAAAGAATTTGTAAGGTATCAGAATAAAGGTAGAAATTTTGCACCGCAGGAAAGAATAGTTTCACACCAGTTCACTTGAGCTCAACTTATTGCCTGAAACATCCATTATATTAACACTGTGAAATATCTTAAAAACTAACTGACATGGAATCTTCAGAGTATACCAGCTCACTTTAAAATTTTGTGAGAACCAATATCAATTAATTGAAACATCCTGAATATTAGAGTTTTGTCGCTATGCGATTTACATAAATACTAGCTCACATCTAGCCTACTAAAGTGTCAAGTAAGAGTGGGATCCGTTTTCAGTTAGTAATTTTTGAGATGATCCTGCGATATCGACTTAAAACAGAACTAGACACAAATTAATGATAAATAGGAACAAGAACCTTAGGTAAACTGACAAGTTTCATTTCAAATACTTACCTTTTCGTCTTCTTCAAACGTTCTACATTGAAAACAGGCGATGTTGAGCTCAACGTATAATGAGATAAACTTATCTCCATCACAAACTCGAGCAATGCGTGACTGCCATCGCAAAAACGTAGGACTTTCAGGTTGCTGGAGAACAAAATATATATAAGCAGGTCTGAAAAGTTGGTCTTGAAATTCCAAATTAGTTGGTCGCGGTCTGTAACGGAAAGCTGACTTATACTGTATTCGTAGATTCGGATTTGTGGATAGTTGTGCCCTGCTTTCCATACTCGGTTGAGTGCTGCACAAATGAAAATTCTTTAAACGCACTGTTAGTGGATCATAGATGATGAGGGTGTATTCTTGAAGTCTGTCAGGTTCTGTACCTACGTAGATGTACTCTGAACCGACTACAAGCACAGAATGAGTATAAGGGAGCGATCCAACGACCGGTATTTTCTTCGGAATTTCGTCTTTCTTGTCTAACAAAGGATGTCTTGTACTGGCAGACCATGGGGCTTCTTGACTGACGTTCAGTAGGCTGAGTCTTTCACAATATCCATGATAAACATTATGACATACATACAAACTATCTTCGAAAGTTATTCGATCATCATTCACAGACTGAGATTCATAATCCCATTCGGAGTAGTTGAAGTTGTATATCTCAGGGCCTGGAGAACTCGAAGTACCCCAGGACTTGACATAGTTATTAGTTGGATGAGGGAGACAGAAATCAGATCCATAATCGAAAGGTAATGATGACCTATCTACATGCGAACACTGTTCGCAATTATCTCCGTCCGATAAACAGTAAATGGAAAAATTGTGTGGACCCGTAATACGTTCTGTCACCAGTTGCAATCCGTCGACCTTGTACTGTCTAATTGAATTCACACTCGCAACGTACACATACTCAAGATTTTCAGGTTGATAAAGACGATATAAGACTCGTAGATTCTTAGCCTCCAGTGTAACAGGGATTGATGTATTGTGAGTAACTTTCAAATTCAATGCGTAGATAATAACTTCAACAAAAATGATAAACGCTAGGAGAAATTCCTTCAGAGTACCATACAGCATATGTCAAGATGATAATTTTAAAATTACTGATCCATTAACCCATTCTCCTTGCTTGGCGAATCTTAAAAATGCATACAATATGAATATAGATAAAAAGATTAAGTGATTTCATGAAGAGAAATCATTATCTATTTACTTCAATGTATTCATCTCTGCAAGTAAGTCCATTCAACGTATAAAACGAAAGTAATATCAAATTTAGGAAAAAAGACTGACTGAGCAAAGAAACATATTCCTTTTCAATTAGGTCTTCGTCTTGGGCTCTACACTAATATACAGATTTATAATTCAATCAAAATGCCAATCAAGTGGTGAGGGGTTGGTGAATAATAACTATAGATTTCAAGTAAGTCATGAAGATAAGTTTTAGAAAGTAATATGCAAAAATTCAACAGAGTAATACAAATTGGAAATATGAAGCAGGTTATTCTTAGGTAAATGGAGTGATTTTTGACGAGTGTTCAGTCATAAATAATATATAACTACGTAAACGAATACTGATAAAAACACAGTGCACAAAGTAATGCTAGAAGTTACATCATGTTAACGGTAATAATAATGAACGAACAAACTTCTTTTGAATACAAAGTTTAGGTTTGTAAGGGTGGATTGCGATCTCCTCTGCTGTGTGAAGTAAGCAAATGCATAATCTATATGGTAAATTAATTGGAATGTGATGAACGATTTTGAATGATTTTCTAGTATCTGCTTGATGTCCCGTGTCAACTAAGTGTGCGAGTAAGGAGCACTTTATTATTCAAATTTTTCCCTGGCTCAACCATGATGGGTGGTGCTCGGAAATTAGACGATGCACCTGCCTCATTGTACGCCCAATGCAACTAGCTCCACAGGAGCAGTTGAATGGATAAATGAGCTTGGAAGTGGCAGAATCAGGCAGTTTTTCTTTACTTCTTGCTCCTTGAATCGAGCGGTTGTAGAAGATGGGATGTCATTTAGCAGCTGAGAATCCTTTTTTGCAAGACTCTTTATATGCGTTGTGTAATGATGTCACTGACAATGTTACTCTTAAATTTCAACCTCAAAAAGATTTGCTTCTTAAGAACTGTTGGCATTCTTGAATTAACCTTCGTGACATCAATATGGTTAGTTTCAAACTTCGCTGGATAGCTATCCCTACTAAGCAGGTCACGAATGGTGCCGAACTCTTCGTCTATATCACCATCTGAGCAAATAGCTGTGGCATGGTATGTATAGATGATACTATAGAGGAAGAGTTCACCACTATTTGTGACTTACTGAGTAGGAATAGCTATCCAGCGAAGTTTGAAACTAACCATATGAATGTCATGAAGGTTAATTCAAGAATGCCAACAGTTTTTAAGAAGCAAATCTGCTTGAGGTTGGAATTTAAGAGTGACGATGCCAGTGAAATCATCACACAACCCGTATAAAGAGCCTTGCAAAATGCATATCATATCCATTTTCCCCACTAAGATTAATCAGATTTCGATGGATTATGAAATTCACTACCAAGTGCGACAACCCTAAAGTATCAATTATCGATACTTCCTTAGAGATATCGTGATCGTATCCTCTACTATTTCTAATAGACAAAATGTAAGATGATGCCTCAGGACTGGTCTCCAACTACTCCTAGATTAAAGATAGGGAGTGAAGTAGTGGAATGTGTCGACCACTTCACTTAATTGAGGGGCTGCTTTAGCCCGAGTGGGATGGTAGCTGATGAAATCTCAGCTTGAATACAGTAAGCCCGTTTGGCATTTGCCAACTTGAGTCATCTCTGGCGCCGAGTGGCGAGATATCCAACTACACTGACTGGTCACAGAGGGGAGAACCAACTTCATGTTGTTTAGTCCTATGTGTTGATCAAATTCTATCCATCATTTCATGATGTGGTCACCAGGTCATCTATCTAAGGACGAGAATACAGTGCTGCAGCCCGTTTTGTCCTGTTATACAGCCTTGAGACATGACCGTTAAATGAAGAAGACATGAAGCAGTTACAGGTTTTTGCTAACAAGAGTCTTCGTGATGTTGCTCACATTTCGTGAGACAACCATGTCAGCAATGTTGAGGTCAGGTGAAGGGTAATAGACAAGACAGGTAAGTCGACTGCTGAGCTTGTCAACTTCAGGCGACTAAAAAAAGATGGCTTAGACATGTATCGTGCATACCCCGATATGCCATGCAAGGGAAACTGGCTTATGTTAGAAGACGGTTTAGGGTAGCCAGAGCAAGACCTGACACTAGTCAATGAAGTGCCTGAATGTTAGTCTGAGCCGTTTCGGGAGATGTAGGCTGTCTAGTTAGGGTCCCCGAAATGGAAGGAATCAGTGACTGAGAACGCTTGGTGACATGGCTGGAAATAGGTTACCATGGAGTAGATTTATCCACCTTTTGACGTCTTCTAAAGCTTGAATATGTGCACTAACCATTACCTTCAAACTGTTTATTCTCTCACAAATGTCTACTTTGATATCACTTATTCTATCCACTTGTTCTTTGGTATACTACTGTGAAGTGTTGTGACTTGGAGAGATGCAGTTGTGTGCGAAGTTTTAAGTTGATTTTGTCTGTTTGCTCTGTCTGACAGACAAAATGCTTTGTTTTTTCGATGCAATAAAGCTGACTAGTTTTTGGCCGCAATTATACTGTAATTTAGTCAAATCCATGTTACTTCAGAAATTGTGGCGACTCAGAAGCTATAGACTGACTCAGTTATAAGGAACTCACTACTCACCAATATTCTAAACAGACTGGCTTTTATTGATTGCTCTTACCCTCTGTTGTTTCATAGTTGCTGTTTCTTCGAACATTACGCCCCAGCAGATTTCTTTGAACTTACCTATATTCCTTAGGGAGGCTTTTTAATGACACAGTTATCACAGAGTATGTTCTAGAATTTGTGTACATTTATTTAAATGTCAATATTTTCCTACATCATTACTTAAAAGCCTATATATTTGGTTCATCACTTTATAATAGACAGGTGAGATGTTACAAATGCATTTCTGCTTTTCATTTTGTTCACTTTAATTTTGTTTGAATATGGCAGCTTGAATTAGATAGAAAATCAACAGAGCAGAATTTTGCAAAACAGTATATCGATTAAAGCTGGCACGCATTAAAGCAGTACACAAAATGAAATTGACAGCGGGTTAGACGAAAATGTAGTAAGGAGGAGAGAATAAATAGTCACGTCCATGTAATATTTGAAATTTAGAGGGGCACATCAAAACTTTTTACCGATCTTGAGCCATATCGCCAACCCTCCCACGATCGACTGCCAGGTAACCTAAACTCTCCTATGCAGCTCAAAATGAATGGATCTGCTCCCCAAAGGTCGATTCTCAGCCATATCACTTACAGCTTCCAACTAACGATTTCAGTTGTCTCAATTATCTTCAGTTGTTTCCCTACTTGACTAAGACAAATTCAAAGACACCATAAAGAGATGCCATTTTTAAGTCTGGTCACCTCTAACCTTTTTTCCGACCTAAACCTACTTGAATAACATTGTTAGAAGAGGTGAACGGTAACTAAGCATGCATTACATATGCCTCAGTCATCTGAATAGATGAAGGATCACAAGGTTATTCACGGAGTTTCGTCTTCTCCCAAACACTACTCTTGATTTCTACGTAACTAAGTGACACCATGACACTGCCTATGCTACGAAGGCGACGGCGGTCCGACACTTAAGCACTCCGAGTGTCTTCTACCTTGAATGACCATACTTCATAGCTATACAGTAGGACAGAGTGGATCGCGGCGCAGTACACTCTACCCTTAATAGACAACCATATTTTACAGCAGCGCCATAAATGGTGTAATTCGATGGAAGCCAAGTGGAACTTCGTATCCGTGAGATTTAGTCAGTCACCGACCCGCTATGGTCGATCCGATTTCTCAGGCAAATGAAGTGGTCAGTGCACTCAACCACTTTATTTTTTATCGCTAAACAAAGCATTAACGAGACTAGTCATTGAGCAACAACTTTCACTATGGTAGTGAAAGACGCTTCCAAAAGGTTCTCAAATTACCATTTGAGGTGTCCAGCAGACTATGCACATTGTCAACATCTTTACCCCCACAGAACTACGTAGTCTGTGTTCCCTAGGTTTACTAAGAATGCTTCTGTGAAAAGGTGAATATTTGTAATGTCAGACGATATAGTCTTCTGTAAGCACGTTTGTAATAAACTTGAATTAGTGGAAAAATTGGACATCTCTGACAGATACTTTATAATGCCTTATATTGCTGGAGTGAATGTCGTTAGGTATTACCAGACAAAACACCGAAAAGGATGAGGGACACCTTTTTCGCGTTTCCGTTAGTTGGTCGCCGTTAACAAAACCAACAGGAATAAACCGCCACAAAAAATCCCCCGAGCAAATTTCTTTTCTTATAATCTAGTGATTCAACACCAAGTGGAGTCACAGTTCCGTAATTATGTCCGACTGGTTAACTAAGCAGAACTTATTGACACCGATTCCTAAAAATGGTCGGTTTCTTAAGACTCTCAGCTGTAGTATTCTGTGGTTACAGATTAACTTAACCAACGAACATTGATTACATGTGAATTGAGGATTGTTTACACGTATTGTATATATCAACAAAACTTTGAGTCAGAAAGCGGTAATCAGATTAATTAAGGTTGGCGACCCATTTGGTGGAAATTACAAGGCTCAGTTTGATATGCCTAACGCTCACAGGAACACCTTATATTCAATGGTATACACTACATGAAAATTATTTTGTAAAGAATACCCCCATCTCATGGTTCAATCGGAGAACTAAGTGGCTAAAATTACCACTGGAAAAACGTCAGAAAGGCCTGGAAGTGAGTGAGTGATGAACAACAACACCATAAGACGTTCCTGTCGACTGACTTATAAGTTTTTTGAACTCTGAGTGATTAGTTTATTAAGATATTCCTGTTACCATTTGCGCAGAAATTTTGTTTTAAGCAGAAAAACATGATACCTTTACAGTAAATACATGAGTACAATGCTTGCTATTTACATTTTCTTTCAACTTCACACCTTGACTCACTTTCCACACTTTGGTAGGCATTTTATCAATCTCGTTTGTTGAACTTAAATGCAATATGGTATGCCCTGTGTGCAAGTAAAAGAATAAATCACGTTATTCATTAAGAAGTGATTGACAAACACCGACGCAGGTGAATTCAAGATGCACAATGCTTTTCCAGATAGTAATACGGTCATGATTGGGTTTTTTATAGAGAGGACCTTAGACAAACTGAAAGATTCATTCAGTGAACCACAGATAGTAGTCATATAGTGCCAGCATACATAATAGTCACACAGGATCTTTGTTAAGACTTCAAAACGAATAGGCAATAAAAAGCACAATTTTTATCCTCCTCCTAGATAGAAGTTTAACGAATAACATTCAAAAGATTCGGAAAATGAGCAGAAACAAAATATTCAAGTTACCAGCACCCACGAAATCGAAAGTCCAGACCTAAAATTGCGGTCTTGATTTAATTATTGAAATGTGACATGACGTAACAAAACGTCGTGTATTCAAATAGATAGTAGACAAATTTTTGGATTCAAAACTTGAAGAAGCAACCAATTAGTTGTGTAGGTAATTTTCTAGCACTCCCTGGCAGTCTGACAGTTTTTTTTTTCATCTAGAAGCCACTAGTTTCTATATTTCATCTATCATCCAACATCAGTAGTGCGAGTCAAGGAAACTTGGAGTTTTTGGACTCTCTCTTATTGATCTTGAGACTCAGTTCTTTTTTCAGTTGTAGCAGGGTTATTTGTCTTTCCTGTCCGTAGCACTGGAGGCAGTGGCTGTCTATTTGAAGGTATTTCCGCTTGCCGATGATACGTTGATTCGTATGGGAGATCTATGGTGCTGCTGATCAGATCAGTTAACCTTTCACAAATTCTGTCTTTATGGGCATTTACAAGTAATTACCAAGCACTAATTAAAGAGCAGTCCAAGAGATTGGGCTAGTGGGAAATGAGAAAAAAGGAGTGAAAAGAACGTCCGGCAAAACAAGCGTTACTGGTACTAACGTGGAGAAGGGACGGGTCTTACCACAGATACTAGGGTTAAGGAATACAGAGATTGATAAGCATGCCTTCAGTTGCCAGCGGCGAAAGTTGGTGGTAAGCTGTTCGCGTTCACGTATTTAGCCATCAGTCGTTTGAGGGACCCAGCTTATGTAACTGTATCTACTTTCCTCTGCAAAGCGTTCCATCGGAAACACACTCTGTATATGAGGAAGTTAGATCTTATTGTCGCCCTTGTCGTATGGTGGAGTATGCGTATGGGATTCCTAAGAGACCACCGGTCTTTCGGGACGATAATGTTGACTTATTTAGGTGGCCCACCTGCTGAATGGTTTTGTAGGCTGTCGTTAAGTCACCTCTTTTTCCTGCATAGCTTCAGGTGAATAAGTTGAGTTGTCTGAGGCGTTAAGCATATGTTATACCCGTAAGTCCGAAAACCGGCCTTGCCTTGAAATGTGACATGACGTAACAAAACGTCGTGTATTCAAATAGATAGTAGACAAATTTTTGGATTCAAAACTTGAAGAAGCAACCAATTAGTTGTGTAGGTAATTTTCTAGCACTCCCTGGCAGTCTGACAGTTTTTTTTTTTTCATCTAGAAGCCACTAGTTTCTATATTTCATCTATCATCCAACATCAGTAGTGCGAGTCAAGGAAACTTGGAGTTTTTGGACTCTCTCTTATTGATCTTGAGACTCAGTTCTTTTTTCAGTTGTAGCAGGGTTATTTGTCTTTCCTGTCCGTAGCACTGGAGGCAGTGGCTGTCTATTTGAAGGTATTTCCGCTTGCCGATGATACGTTGATTCGTATGGGAGATCTATGGTGCTGCTGATCAGATCAGTTAACCTTTCACAAATTCTGTCTTTATGGGCATTTACAAGTAATTACCAAGCACTAATTAAAGAGCAGTCCAAGAGATTGGGCTAGTGGGAAATGAGAAAAAAGGAGTGAAAAGAACGTCCGGCAAAACAAGCGTTACTGGTACTAACGTGGAGAAGGGACGGGTCTTACCACAGATACTAGGGTTAAGGAATACAGAGATTGATAAGCATGCCTTCAGTTGCCAGCGGCGAAAGTTGGTGGTAAGCTGTTCGCGTTCACGTATTTAGCCATCAGTCGTTTGAGGGACCCAGCTTATGTAACTGTATCTACTTTCCTCTGCAAAGCGTTCCATCGGAAACACACTCTGTATATGAGGAAGTTAGATCTTATTGTCGCCCTTGTCGTATGGTGGAGTATGCGTATGGGATTCCTAAGAGACCACCGGTCTTTCGGGACGATAATGTTGACTTATTTAGGTGGCCCACCTGCTGAATGGTTTTGTAGGCTGTCGTTAAGTCACCTCTTTTTCCTGCATAGCTTCAGGTGAATAAGTTGAGTTGTCTGAGGCGTTAAGCATATGTTATACCCGTAAGTCCGAAAACCGGCCTTGCCTTGAAATGTGACATGACGTAACAAAACGTCGTGTATTCAAATAGATAGTAGACAAATTTTTGGATTCAAAACTTGAAGAAGCAACCAATTAGTTGTGTAGGTAATTTTCTAGCACTCCCTGGCAGTCTGACAGTTTTTTTTTTTTCATCTAGAAGCCACTAGTTTCTATATTTCATCTATCATCCAACATCAGTAGTGCGAGTCAAGGAAACTTGGAGTTTTTGGACTCTCTCTTATTGATCTTGAGACTCAGTTCTTTTTTCAGTTGTAGCAGGGTTATTTGTCTTTCCTGTCCGTAGCACTGGAGGCAGTGGCTGTCTATTTGAAGGTATTTCCGCTTGCCGATGATACGTTGATTCGTATGGGAGATCTATGGTGCTGCTGATCAGATCAGTTAACCTTTCACAAATTCTGTCTTTATGGGCATTTACAAGTAATTACCAAGCACTAATTAAAGAGCAGTCCAAGAGATTGGGCTAGTGGGAAATGAGAAAAAAGGAGTGAAAAGAACGTCCGGCAAAACAAGCGTTACTGGTACTAACGTGGAGAAGGGACGGGTCTTACCACAGATACTAGGGTTAAGGAATACAGAGATTGATAAGCATGCCTTCAGTTGCCAGCGGCGAAAGTTGGTGGTAAGCTGTTCGCGTTCACGTATTTAGCCATCAGTCGTTTGAGGGACCCAGCTTATGTAACTGTATCTACTTTCCTCTGCAAAGCGTTCCATCGGAAACACACTCTGTATATGAGGAAGTTAGATCTTATTGTCGCCCTTGTCGTATGGTGGAGTATGCGTATGGGATTCCTAAGAGACCACCGGTCTTTCGGGACGATAATGTTGACTTATTTAGGTGGCCCACCTGCTGAATGGTTTTGTAGGCTGTCGTTAAGTCACCTCTTTTTCCTGCATAGCTTCAGGTGAATAAGTTGAGTTGTCTGAGGCGTTAAGCATATGTTATACCCGTAAGTCCGAAAACCGGCCTTGCCTTGAAATGTGACATGACGTAACAAAACGTCGTGTATTCAAATAGATAGTAGACAAATTTTTGGATTCAAAACTTGAAGAAGCAACCAATTAGTTGTGTAGGTAATTTTCTAGCACTCCCTGGCAGTCTGACAGTTTTTTTTTTTTCATCTAGAAGCCACTAGTTTCTATATTTCATCTATCATCCAACATCAGTAGTGCGAGTCAAGGAAACTTGGAGTTTTTGGACTCTCTCTTATTGATCTTGAGACTCAGTTCTTTTTCAGTTGTAGCAGGGTTATTTGTCTTTCCTGTCCGTAGCACTGGAGGCAGTGGCTGTCTATTTGAAGGTATTTCCGCTTGCCGATGATACGTTGATTCGTATGGGAGATCTATGGTGCTGCTGATCAGATCAGTTAACCTTTCACAAATTCTGTCTTTATGGGCATTTACAAGTAATTACCAAGCACTAATTAAAGAGCAGTCCAAGAGATTGGGCTAGTGGGAAATGAGAAAAAAGGAGTGAAAAGAACGTCCGGCAAAACAAGCGTTACTGGTACTAACGTGGAGAAGGGACGGGTCTTACCACAGATACTAGGGTTAAGGAATACAGAGATTGATAAGCATGCCTTCAGTTGCCAGCGGCGAAAGTTGGTGGTAAGCTGTTCGCGTTCACGTATTTAGCCATCAGTCGTTTGAGGGACCCAGCTTATGTAACTGTATCTACTTTCCTCTGCAAAGCGTTCCATCGGAAACACACTCTGTATATGAGGAAGTTAGATCTTATTGTCGCCCTTGTCGTATGGTGGAGTATGCGTATGGGATTCCTAAGAGACCACCGGTCTTTCGGGACGATAATGTTGACTTATTTAGGTGGCCCACCTGCTGAATGGTTTTGTAGGCTGTCGTTAAGTCACCTCTTTTTCCTGCATAGCTTCAGGTGAATAAGTTGAGTTGTCTGAGGCGTTAAGCATATGTTATACCCGTAAGTCCGAAAACCGGCCTTGCCTTGAAATGTGACATGACGTAACAAAACGTCGTGTATTCAAATAGATAGTAGACAAATTTTTGGATTCAAAACTTGAAGAAGCAACCAATTAGTTGTGTAGGTAATTTTCTAGCACTCCCTGGCAGTCTGACAGTTTTTTTTTTTTCATCTAGAAGCCACTAGTTTCTATATTTCATCTATCATCCAACATCAGTAGTGCGAGTCAAGGAAACTTGGAGTTTTTGGACTCTCTCTTATTGATCTTGAGACTCAGTTCTTTTTTCAGTTGTAGCAGGGTTATTTGTCTTTCCTGTCCGTAGCACTGGAGGCAGTGGCTGTCTATTTGAAGGTATTTCCGCTTGCCGATGATACGTTGATTCGTATGGGAGATCTATGGTGCTGCTGATCAGATCAGTTAACCTTTCACAAATTCTGTCTTTATGGGCATTTACAAGTAATTACCAAGCACTAATTAAAGAGCAGTCCAAGAGATTGGGCTAGTGGGAAATGAGAAAAAAGGAGTGAAAAGAACGTCCGGCAAAACAAGCGTTACTGGTACTAACGTGGAGAAGGGACGGGTCTTACCACAGATACTAGGGTTAAGGAATACAGAGATTGATAAGCATGCCTTCAGTTGCCAGCGGCGAAAGTTGGTGGTAAGCTGTTCGCGTTCACGTATTTAGCCATCAGTCGTTTGAGGGACCCAGCTTATGTAACTGTATCTACTTTCCTCTGCAAAGCGTTCCATCGGAAACACACTCTGTATATGAGGAAGTTAGATCTTATTGTCGCCCTTGTCGTATGGTGGAGTATGCGTATGGGATTCCTAAGAGACCACCGGTCTTTCGGGACGATAATGTTGACTTATTTAGGTGGCCCACCTGCTGAATGGTTTTGTAGGCTGTCGTTAAGTCACCTCTTTTTCCTGCATAGCTTCAGGTGAATAAGTTGAGTTGTCTGAGGCGTTAAGCATATGTTATACCCGTAAGTCCGAAAACCGGCCTTGCCTTGAAATGTGACATGACGTAACAAAACGTCGTGTATTCAAATAGATAGTAGACAAATTTTTGGATTCAAAACTTGAA